CTAGCCACCTATTGACACAGGGATGGATGGATGGGGTGGAGAGGGAGAAGAAGACCCTTTAACTGGATGCATATGCCATTCTTCAACAGACGTTCCAGGCCAGTTGTATCAAAAAGGATAATTCAGAAGCATAGCATGTTTGGAGAGAAAAATCTCTCACGTTGTGTCTGAGGAAGTGTGAGAAATGCTCACAGCTTGTTACTTAAATGCAGTAACCCAACAACCACGAATACAAGCAGCACTCTTTTATTAAAAAGCCCTTTTGCAAAAGCAGGTGTCCTAGCTGGGTAGGCACACCCATCAATACGGGTCCCATGATATTTATTCCCGATTCCCAGCCGCAGGGTCCCTCCACTGTTTCCCCATTGGTCAGGTACTCCAAGATGTACCGCCTATCCGGTGCACCTAAACCGATGACAGGAAATCCCACCTCTCACATCTCCCACTCCTCTCTTTACCTAGACGCAGACTCTCATATTTCTATCCTTATTTGGTATATATTCCCTTTTCCTAACCTCCCTGCAGACATTCTAACTGACCCATTAAGTTCCTTCCTTCTTACCTAGGCCTACTCGCTCAGTCTTTTTGTCAGTACAATAGGGCGCCTCCCTAATTTGTACTTTCATCTTATAATTTCTCATGTCTTCTTTAAATTCCTTTTGTTGGCTAAATAATTAACAAAGAGTATGTACTGATTCTTTTACCATGACCATTGACTCAACTCTCCTGCCCTTCCTTGCAAAAGCAGCACTGATCCCTCTATTTCTCTCAAAAGGGTTGTTCAGGTGGCCTTGAAGACCAGGAAGACCCAAAGCTACCTTGCCTTCATGTGAAACTGTCAGCACCTCCGGCTTCCTAGTCGGGAAGCAATGGCTCCCAAGAGGCTCAGGTGGAAGGCTGGCTTTGCCTGGAGATGCCACCCACTGGGCATCAAACCTGGAACCTCAACAAGCAAAATGGGCAAGTGCAGACACTTGTCTGGTCACTTCTCGGGACCTCATGAGAACAGTTCCCACACAGAATCACCTAGTCATACAGCAGGAAGGACCCGCCTGCCAAGGCAGGAAGCCCACAGGTAGAACATCACCTGGCAAGTAGCCATCCAAACATTGTGTTACACAACAAACAAATAAGAGGCTGCTACCTTTTGGATGAGGTTTTTCTGCTCTGCAAAGGTGCGGTATAGAGTGGTACTCTCACTTCCCGTGATCTTGATGCCGTCCCCCTGTTGATGCAGCCTAGGACGGTGTGGGCTTTCTTGGCAGCCGTCGCACACGGCTGCTGACTCATCCTTAGGTGGAGGTCCACCAGGACCCCTAAATCCCTCTCACAGGTGTGACTGTCAAGTCAGGTCCCACCTGTCCTGTACCTGTGCATCTGGTTTCTCCTGCCTAAGTGCAGGACCTTACTTTTCCCACCACTGAACTGCATCTTGTTGGATAGGGCCCAATGTTCAAGTCTGTCTAGACCCTTCTGAATGTTGAGTCTATCTTCCAAAAGATTAGCCGTTCCCCCCAGCTTTGTGTCATGAGCAAATCCCATGAGCGCTCCTTCAATCCCCTGATCTAGGTCATTTGTGAAGATGTTGAAGAGCACCGGGCCCAAGACAGAACCTTGAAAGACCCCACTGCACACTTCCCTCCACGTAGATGTGGTTCCATTGAGAATCACACGTATATTTATTTTATTTTATTTATTTATTGTGTGGTTGGTCAGCCAACTGCAAATCCATCTGGTAGTTGCACTGTCTATCTCACTTTGGTCTATCTTACACAGAAGTAGGTTGTGGTCTACCTTATCAAATGCCTTACTGAAGTCTAAGTATACTATATCCACTGTGTTTCCTTGGTCCACTAATTTAGTCACTTTATCAAAGATGCTCACAAATCTGCTGCTTCATAATTTTTTTCCAGGTATCAAGCTGTTTGGTCTGTAGTTTCCACTTTTTTCCCTTTTTGAAAGACTGGAACCATATCAGCTCTTTTCCAATCCTCTGGCATTTGCCCTTTGCTCCAGGACCTCTCAAAGATTTCATTCAGTGGTTCCAAGATCACATCTGCCAGTTCTTTTAGTACTCTGGGATGTAAACCATCCAGTCCAGGAGACTTGAACTCATTCAAAGCAGCTAAGTGTTCCTTTAGCACTTCCTTACCTTTTCTGACCTGCTTGCCTCTCCTGTCTCCCATGGTGCTGCTTTTGACAGGGTGGACCAATTTTTCCTTCTGCATAAGTACATATGCAAAAAAAAAAAAGAATTAAACAGTTCCACTTTCTCTCTGTTGCCTGTCACCTTCTTGTCATCTTCTCCCACTAGTAGACCAACTATTTCCATTATTTTCCTCTTGTTCCTTACATGTTGAAAGAAAGTTTTTTTGTTGTTGTTATTTTTGGCATTTGTTGCAAGTCTTAGCTCACTCTGAGCCTTAGTCTTCCTGACTCCATCCTTGCAGGTTCGAGCTATTTGCTGGTATTCTGTTCTTGTTATGAGCCCCTTTTTCAGTTTTTTATACTTCCCCTTTTTGTCCCTTAGCTTTTCAGAGAGCTCTGTGTGCATCCATGTGGGTCTTGTCAGACGTCTCTTGTTTTTCTTTCTCTGTGGTATTGTTTGGTTTCGGCCTTTGAGGGTTTCCAAAGCATCCTGAACTGTTTTTCCCTTTAGGGTTTCCATCCATGGAATCCTTCCTATTGTATCTCTTAGTTTGTTAAAGTCAGCTCTCTTAAAATCTAGAACATTAGTCTGACTTGGTACAGTTCCCCTTGCCTGCATGATGGTGAATTCTAATATGACACGGTTGCCTTCTCTTAAAGTTCCTACCATTTCCACTCCCTCAACTATTTCCTCCCTATTAGTAAGTATGAAGTCCAGTATGGATGACCCTCTAGTTCCCTCCTCCACCTTTTGGATGATAAAATTGTCAGCCAGGCATGTCAGGTCCCTTTGCACCTTCTAGAGAGCTGCTTGCAGAAAGCGGAGGGGGGCTGGCAGCTGGGACCCTCAGACACCGGTCTTTGTGAGGCATGGGCAGAAGAAGGAGGGATGGCCCTTCCTGAGCCTCTTCTCAGGGCTCCGTCCTCAGAATACCCCCCTGCCCCATTGCAGGGGTTCTGCAGGAATGGAGGGTTCACCCTGCTGGCCCCTGAGGGCCCATTTGCCTTTGCTGCCTCCTGCAAGACCAAGGTGTTGCTCCTGAGCAGCTTTAGCCCAACGTCACCTGGGCTGGACAGAGAGCCTGGCCATTGGAAGGGGTGAGTTTGTCCCCGGAAGCCACGGCTGCTCCTCTTGTGTCTCCCACCTGAAAGGCAAGGCTTGTGTGGATGGAGGGGTTGACTGACCCAGCATCCACTGTGCAAGGGGCAGAGAGGCAGAGGGGGCCATGATTGCCATCCTTCTGTTTTGTGGCAGGACTGCCTCCCTCCTTTGGCCACTTGCTTTTCCCTCCTCTTGGTATTGCCATGTTTCGGAGCAGGGTGGGGAATGCCGGGTTCAAAAAGAGACACTTGGAGGGGCCCTGAGACCCAGAATGGAGGGGACAGAAGCCAGGGCAGCTCCACAGAAAAACTGGTTACCCAATTTCTTCTGTCCAGCACCGTGGCACAAGGTCCCGTGGTTCTTCAGCCACTGAGAGCCTGAGGTCTTTGCAGAGGATCTGCTGCAAGTCCTCCACGAGTCCTCCTCTCCTTCCAGCCTGCTTTTGTGTCCTCCTCTTGGAGCTGGGTGAAAGAGCCAAGGATTAAAGGCAAGGCCATGAGCTCCTCAGCCATTCCACATCCTGCTTTGTGTCACAGAGAAAGGCACCTGTTGGCAGCCCTCCATGGCAGCCCATGGAGCTGGGGTGCTCCGGACCCAATCCAGCGTGTGAGCCTTGAGTAAGACCTCAGGACTCCTTTGCTTCTCATCTGCATCCAGCCAGGCAGACCTCCCAGTCCAGGACTAGGGGAGGGACAGGCCGACCGACCGGGGCAGCCCACCTGATCCCACCTGCTGGTGGGCACAGCGGGAGATCTGGAAGAGCCTCTGGCAGCGTTGAGGTGGGTTGTGGAACCGCCGGGCAGGGCAAGGCATGTCAGGGGCCTCTTGAGGCCTTCACCGACCCCACCCCCACCCTTTCAAGGCTTTACCCCTGGGGAACCCATGAGCTCCTGTAGAACTCTGTGTGTGTGTGTGTGTGTGTGTCTACATGTGGGTGAGAGAGAAGAGAGAGAGAGAGAGAGAGAGAGACTATAATAGGGAAGGGCCTGCCCAAAGGCAAGTATTCCCTTGGTTTCCCCAATTCTCTTGCCAAGGGCACCGAGGCAGCTTGCTTGGGGTGATCTGCTGGCCACCAGCAGCTGTGGCGGAAGGGGGGGGGAGATGGCTAAGACTCTGTGGTCCCCATGAGGAGGAGGGAGGGGGCAGCAGAGTTGTCACTCCTCTCCCCAATATTCTTTGTTGTGGGTAGGAGAAGGCCAGAAGTCACGGGTGGGGGTGGGAGAGAAAGAGCGAGATCTCCGCGGCCTGTC